ATCAATCGTTATACCTTGTACCACGGCGCATAGTGCACTGTGCGTCTCGCGCCTTCCAAAATGACGTCGTTTTGGGAGGCACGGTAAGAAGTTGACATGATTATGTATATTTGTTTATACAATTATGTATATTTTTTACTATGTACATTTTTCATACAATTATGTATATTTTTTTTATACAATTATGTATATCCGTATCAGGAAATTTTTGTGTATTATGTTAAGAGTTGATGTGTATTATGTTAAAAGTTTATGTTTATTATGTATTATGTTAGATTATGTGTATTATCTTTTAAAAAAGAGTATGTGTATTTTGTTATATAAGTATGTACATTCATGTATACAATTATGTGTATTCTAGTATAACATTACGTACATTTTTGAACATGAGATTTTTTTTAAAGAAAATTAACTGCCAAACACTAGGTAGCGAAATTTCAAAAAAAATAAAATAATAAATGAAACGACGTCGTTTTGCATCTGGGCGCACTACGCAACGCGCACCGTGGTGCAGGATATAAATTGCCTGCAGATTTCAAGTAACTCTAGCCCATCCATATGAGTTGCAATCATTGTTGTGGACCATATTTTGTCTACGGTAAAATAATATACATTCAGTACAAAAATAATATACATTGTATTCAGGGGATGTACATTATTTTTGTTCTGAGTGTACATTATATTATATAATGTATATTCAGTACAAAAATAATGTACATTTAATATATTAAAAATGTACTTTTTATTATAGTTCACATTACATTGTGTGGATCATGATCCACACAATAATTTGCCTATGAGTTGGGCAAATATGCATTATATTTTGTTCTTATAATAAAAAAAATTATAATTAAAAATTAAAAATCATGATTCATCAATAAATATTAAATCAAATTGTCATACCTAATCCAAACGTCATGTTTGTTCTTACCATAACTTTCACCATTCATTATGAGGAAAAAGTTAATGTTATTATCATGTCATTATAAAATTTAAATAAGTTCAATTAAAATTTTAACTTATTTATTATATATATTTTGACGCATCTAATGGAGATTGAGTAATATAATTTTAAAACTTATCACGAAAAAGTGGTGCAATCTAATTGGAGCAAAATGTTTGAAGTTTGAATGATCAAATTCTATCACCATAATGAGTTTAGACTTTTGACAAAGAAGATGAGAATTGTATAAAACTGTATTGATTGAACTATATAATACCTGTATAGATTGGGGAATATATACAAAATGAATTATAGAATTATAGAGAGTCATAATGTGACTCAAATACATAGAGTCCTAATACTAGTTCTAATACTCCCCATCAATGCACATGGTATGCTAGTAACCTGTAGCTTATATCTAAGAAAAGAAAATCTAGGACTAGGCAAACTTTTGCGAATATGTCTGCAAGTTGATCTTTTGTTGAGATGAAATTGACTTGAATATCTCCAGTAACAACTTTATCTTGAACAAAGTGATAAATCTATCTCAACGTGCTTGGTACGAGCATGGAAGACGGGATTTGCACACATATAAGTAGCACCAAGATTATCACACCATAGTTTATGGACAGAGATATCTGGAACTTTGATCTCACGCAGTAGTGAAATGATCCAAGTTACTCAGCACAAACATTTGCTAGAGCTTTATATTCAACCTCAGTAGAAGATCTAGCCACAGTTCTTTGTTTCTTGCAGACCCAAGACACAAGATTAGAGCCAAGAAACACAGCAAAGCCACTTGTAGATTTTCGGTCCTCTGGACAGCCAGCCCAGTCAGAATTAGAGAATGCATGAATTTCTCTTGAAGATGACTTTCTGACTCGTAAACCAAAAGTAACAGTTTCTTTAACATACCTCAAAACACTTTTCCCAGTGTGAAACTGTAGGAACATGCATGTGTTGACACAACTGATTGACTGAAAATGAAAGATCAGGACGAGTGACAGTTAAATATTGTAATGCACCAGCCAAACTCCTGTACTGAGTAGGATCATCGTACAATGTTGTATCAATGACCACGGTTTTCAAAGTAGAAATAGGAGTAGATAGTTCTTTACATTCTGTCATTCCAGCACGTTTTAGAATGTCATTCATGTATCTCTGTTGTGAAAGCAAAATTCCATTATTGCATTTAACTGTCTCAATTCCAAGAAAAAATCCAGGTTCACCAAGATTTCTATTTTTGAATGCACTAGAAAGTTTTGACACTAATTGAGTAACTAGATCCTTATTACTTCCCATCATAAATATATCATCTACATAAACTAACAGATATACACAATCAGATCCTTATGAGTAGTAAAACAAGGATACATCCGTTTTTTATGCTTCAAAACCAATAGATAGTAAGAAAGTGTGCAAACGATTAAACCAAGCCCTATGTGCTGGTTTTAATCCGTAAAGAGACCTTTTTAGCAAGCAAATGTGATTTGGATATTGAGCATCAATATAACCAGCCAACCAGGTGGTTGCTTCATGTACACAATTTCAAATAGATTTCCATTTAAAAAGGCATTATGAAGATCAAGTTGCCTAACAGTCCACGCAGATGATAAAGCCAAAGAAAGAAGTAACCTGACAGTAGTTGGCTTAACCACTGGACTGAAGGTGTCAAAGAAATTTTGCACAGGCACCTGTTTGAACCCTTTTGCTACCAGTCTTGCCTTATATCTCTCAATGGAGCCATCTGTCTTTCGTTTTGTACGAAATACCCACTTACATCCAATAATATTCATACATGCCTGTGATGGTACGAGAGACCATGTTTGATTATGAAGGAGCGCATTAAATTCCTGATCTATGGCTTCACGCTATTCTGGGTACTTAACTGCATGAGTGTAACAAGTGGGATCCGAAGGACAAACCTGAACCATTAAAGCTGATGGTGGAGCCTGTGACCTACTCCGAGTGCTCATCACTTGAGTCCGAACGGTGGACGCCATGGGTTTGCCCTGAGGCCGTGCAGTCGGCTGGACAACTTGGTCATGCGACTCGTGCTCGGGCAGGCTAGCAGGCTCATTGGCGGTGCAGCTGTGTCGCCGCTAGGTGCGACATTGGTGTTGTCATGAGACTGCTCAGGCGGGGCAACGACGGTAGCACTCGGACAAAGAACCAATTCAGCCCACAGATAAGTCTGTACCGGTTGAGAAGCCTACAATTTAGTTTTAGTAGCAGAGGGATATACTGCCTCATCAAACCTTACATGTCTACACACATAAATCTTGTTAGTTTGTAAGTCCATGCACTGATGCACCTATACCCCCGAAACGACACAGGATAACATAGGAAGACACATGGAGATTATCGATATGAAATTTTGTGACGATTGTATGGTCTGGGACACGGGTAACATAGACACCCAAAGACACGAAGAAAAGAGTATGAAGTATGAGAGTTATGCAATTTTAAATGACTGGAGTTATTTAACACAACGGATGACATTTTGTTGATTAAATAAACTGCAGTTTCAAAAGCAAAATCCCAAAATTTATATGGAACAGAGACACGGGCTAGGAGAGCTAAACCCGTTTCAACTATGTGTCTATATTTCGTTCGACACGAGCGTTTTGTTCATGAGTGTATGCACATGACTGCCTATTATTAATGCCTAGTTGCACAAACAAAGAATGTAATTTCTTATATTCAACTCCTAGATCAGATTGAATGGACTTGATTTTACGATTGAATGAGCGCTCAACTAAAGCACAAAATTGATCAAATATGACATAAAGATCATATTTATGCTTCATAGGAAAATACCAAGTGTAACGAGAATAATCATCAATAAAGATGACAAAATAATGATAACCATTAGAGGATAGCAAAGGAGCTAGTCCCCAAATATCAATGTATATCAAATCAAGAACATCTGAACTATTAGACTCAACACGTGCCAAAGGAAAACATGCAGATTTTTCCAATTGACACGCTGAACATAAACTAGAATTACAATGAATAGTACGACTAGAGCCACTAACCGAACAAGACTGAAGAATTTGACTAAGGACACGCTGATGAGGATGACCTAAACGATCATGCCAAACCAAGCGGAAGCACGAGCGGAGAGAAACGCGAAAGGAGACGAACTTGGAACAGGAAAAGTGTATAGGCCACCCGAACTACTGCCTAGTAGGATGATTTCCTTTGTGGTGATATCGAAAAAAAAGAATGATGAAACTCAAAGAACACATTATTATTTGTAGCAAAATGTTGAACAGATAATAAAGAGGTAGACAGACCAGGAACATGCAATATATCGGACATTGTAAAAGACCTAGAAGGGGTATTAAATGTAGCATGACCAACACGACTAATAGACATGCCCATATCACTGACACGTAAAGTGTCATTACCAGTGTACTTCTCCGAGGTAGAAAGGGCATCTATGTCTGGAGTTGCATGATTTGTGGCTCCAGTATTCGGAACCCAAGTATGAGAATTTGACGAGGTTTTAGCACCCAAGCTATTCTGAAACACCAAATAAGCATGAGAACCCAGAGCCCCTGAATAACGCCGAAAACAATTGGCTCTCGTGTGACCGAAACCATTACAAATTTGACACTGTTCATCGTAGCGCCGAAAACAGTTGGCTCCCGTGTAACTAAAACCATTACAAATTTGACACTGTTCGTCAAAGCGTCGAAAACAATTGGCGCCCGTGTGGTCGAAACCATCACAAATTTGACACTGAACTTTAAAACCACGTTGCTGACTAGACCGCTTCTCATATGGTGTATCCTAGTTCGATGCCATCGGCTGCTGCTACGGTAATAATTATTATTAATGACAACAATAATAATTATTATAAACCCTAGCTAACTTATACCATATGAGAACGATATAAAACTGTATTGAATGAACTGTATAATAACTGTACAGACTGAAAATATATATGTCAGAGAAATTGGAATTATAGAGAAATTAGAATAGAAAGTAGGAATTATAAGGAGACTAGGATCATGAGTCATAATGTAGAGTCGTACGTCTTTATAATAAAAAAGAATTCCCATAAAATAGAATTGACTTTTACAATATTCCGCATAATCTTTTGAGGAATTTAAGATCTTTTGATCATATGATCCTTAACCATCGGCGATTCTCAGCCTTCAATTCCTCAAACTCCCCAAAACTGTGGATTCGCTCTCCATGGCCAAACCCCTCTCTGTACTTTATCCGTTTCACTGCACATTTACGCCGCTGTTTGTTGCTAGTTGACATGCCTCCGCCGCAGACGCCGCGACCGACGCCGCCATCAGCTCCGCCGCAGCACCACCTTCTCAGGAAGCCCGCCTTTGTCCCTGACTTCATCTTCACCGCTCTCTCTGTCTTCATTCTCCTCTCTCCTTCAAATCCAGCTAACAACATTCTCCAGAAGCTTTCCCCACTCGTTTCTTTCCCTCTCAACCCTCGCAGGTTCCTCAAAATCCCCACCATGTCCCTGCCCTCATCGAATCGTCTCAGAAACCCTAACCTCCCCTTCCCGAACCCGCAGTCCCTTTCCGATTGGCTGAAGCCGCGTTTGCCCTCCGATTCTTTCGCTTCTTGGGGCGTCAAGCCCGGCACCAAGAACGTTAACAACCTCTGGCTCGAGATCTCCGAGGGCGAAACCTCGTTGGCTGACTCCACGCCTCCTATCCGCACCGTGGAAGTCGTGGTCGTCCGGGTCATCGGGAAAGACAACAAAGTCCTCGTCGAATCGCACCAGGAATTGTCGAACGGTAATGTTCGGAACCGGTCCCGACCCTTATCGGAGAAAATGAAACCCGGCGAGACTGTCGATTCTGCAGTTTTCCGGGCAATCAAAGAAGAGCTCGGGTCCATAATTGCCGGAAATTCTGAGCTTAATAGCATTGTGAGAATTGTGCCCAATTCTTATGTAAAGAAGGTGGAGGAGAGGGTTTCAGCTTCCTACCCGGGATTGCCCGCTTGCTATGTTCTGCACACCATAGATGCCACAGTGGAAGGTCTCCCTGAAGGGGAATTCTGCACGGAAGAGTCTGAAGAATATGAGGGTTTTGATGATAAAGGAGTTGCAGCAGGAGCAGTTTCGTGTAAAAAGCATTACTGGAAATGGGTTGATTCATATTCAGTTTGATGCTCACTGACGAGGGTTGGTGAGTTTGTTGTGACTCTCCTTCCAAGATTGAATTTTGGACGACATTTATAGTTAGTGGTTCAGAGTTTCACTGAGTATATATGCCAATATGTGCTTTCTCTATTGTCTTTTCTGGGCTTGTGAAGTTGTCTGAGCAAACATGATATACTCTATACTTGTAATGTCTATATACTTGCACCTTAAATGAAATCAAGATTTGTTTTTGTTCCACTTTCAACTCTTCTGTCACTTTTCATTATTTGCTTTGATGGTTTGTTTCTCTTTTCCCATGTCTGTGGCTTATATTATATGTATCATATGAAACATGTAATTATGTCTGACTTGGTGGTCTATTTCTGCATACTTATAAAGGAAAATGCCAAAATGGGGAAAGATGTGCTGTATTTTACCCATCAACTCCACACTGTATTCACGTGATCCATACCAATACATTAAAGTTTCAATCTTTACACAATTCTTGCAATGTTTAAACTGCAGCTTGTACAGTGTCTGTGGTTGTAGGAAAAGTTTATTGTGATTGGTGCGGGGTTCTACAAATGGGCTTTTGAAGTAAATCGTGTAGTTCTATAGTATATTGTGCAGGCATTCTGCTGTTTCTATACACATTTTGTTGTTTACAAATAATGCTTAGTCGAACTGAGCTACCTTGAGGATTTTAAACTTGATTTGAAGCATCACCTTGATGCAAGAAGCTCAAAGCAGAACCTCATCAGATTAGAGTTATTTATTTTGAAAAACAAATATAACTGTTCAAATTCTGGCTAACAAGTGCTGATCTATAAGGTTTCAGTATGATACATCATCGGATTAGAGTTACATGCAGTAGTCAAGTTAGCAACGAATGAAAGAACAACTCCAACGACAATATCCATATTCTAACTAGAGGCTAGCCTATGTGTCAATCCGAAAGCTCGTCTATACAGCAAACCTATACTGACATGGGAACCCTTGCAAAACAAATATACAATATTCTGGCAACTCCAAGCAAGTACATGCTGTTGTTATATAACATCGAGGGTGGTAACTGGTAACTGGTAACTGCCCTTTCCCCGGACCTGGCATGACGGGAGTTTCAAGAGCTGGACTGCCTTATTATATGGTCTGTTCTCTCCTTCATTGAAACAAGCTGTGCTGATGATTTGTATTGCTAACCGGCTTATGTGTCTCCTGGTGGTGGTTCACTTGGCAATTGACGAACAAATTGTCCCTTCACTCGTGGACGTTGCTCTGCAAGTTTTTTCCTGCTTTCGTATCTTACCTGTGTCGAAATCCAAAGATTGGTCAGTCTTTTTGTCCAACAATGATAACATATGAAGAAATAGCATGTGAGTTTCTTCTTTTTCTTTTTCGAAACTATAGTCTATAGCATACCTTTTTCTCATAACATCTGTCTTTCCTCTTCAAGCGAAATTTGTTGAGTGCAGCTTCTCTTTGTGACCTCTGAGAGTTTGCATCTTGAACAGCAGAAGCTTCGTCGTTCCTATACTCTGCTGTAGATTTGATCATTGTAACCGGGATTCTGCCATTGCTCCCACCACCATTGTAATGGCAGTTGACAACACCATTGCACAGGCTGCTATTTGCGCTTTGATCAGTAGCAGAAGAAAAATGTCCCCGGTCAGGTTCTGACTGATAACCTTGTCTGTACTCGGTCTGAGTGGAGACAGTATTGACATTCTGCTCAATTACCCTGTGACACTGCTGAGAATTTATAGTTTGATGATTCAAGCGATGAAATGTGTTTGCCTGGCGCGGAGAATTCTGATGGCCAGCTGATCCAGGACTCTGCATTGGAGATGTCATGAAGGTGTAGGCATTACTTAGCCCCTCAAACCTCACACCTCTTACTGGAATCGGGGCACTCAATACTCTCTGCCCGGGGGATGGAAGTCGAGTTTCAGCCTGCCCAGATTCAAAATTTGTCGGTGGAACAAGTCTGTGAGAGCTTGCTGTTGGATCAGAATTGTGAACAGACAAGCGCTTATCAGAGTCAGTTTCGCTTTCTTTGTGTTCATTACGAGTGTTCGGGGATATCAAGTCTCGGGGCTGGGGCTGTGGCTGCACCCCCTTGCTCACATACCTGCATACACGTTTCTTGCGTGTTAGGCAACTTCCAATGTTTCCAAAGATATCGTGCCAAGAATGCAAGAAAACTCACCGAGTAAAGGCTGATGCATCTGAATGGTTTAACTTGTGCTTCTCATCTGGAAATTGGTTGACAGAGCCACTAGGATACCTTGTCAAGGAAAGCTCGAGTGGCGGTGGAGAATCGACCTTGTTGTTTGGACTAATATTCGAACCAGAAACATAAGTGCATATTCCGTGATTATCAAAGGTCCCAATCAAATCAATGGCGCGTTTAGAAGAATTCATGGTCGCAGGATCTTCACCCGAAGCTTGACCAATCACTTGAAGATGACAGCAATTGTCATTAGATGTGCCTGTAAGAACATCTAAGAAGTCAGACACTATCACTTCAGCAGCTAGTGTAACAGAAAGAACATCATAGGATTCACGAAAAACAGTCAAACAACATTACCTTCCACTTGATCACTGGGATTGCGATGTTGCTCTTCCTTCTGCATATCTGCATCAACTGGACGAGGTTTGTTCCAATCCGGCTGTCCAAATTCCTGGATATGTTTCGTGTTTTCTTCTCCAGTCTCCATCTCTGGCTTAGTACAAGAACTCTGCACACATATCGGAAACAGACAATCTCACATGTTAAAACAGTAGACCATGATCAAGGAATCAAAGAAACATCCTACGGCTAAAATGAATTGAATACTACTTTCAATATGTGGTACCTGAGCATCACTTCCTTTTTCAATGCATTCTCTGTTCCTTTCAATACAAGCCTTATACCCACTCGAATGATTACTAAAATCATTGTTTTCAGCTGTGGCTTCAACCTTCAATTGCGCAACGCTCTCATCCCCAGGTCCTTGCCCGCTTTTGCTTGTCTGAGAGACCAAAAAAAGAAAAACCGAAAAGAAAATGAGATCCTCCCCGAAAAAAAGGAAGTTTGGAGGAAAGTTTAAACTCGACAGGCTATCGATTTGCTTACAGCTTGTCTCCTCCATACATGCTGCCACAAGTTCCTGAGCTCGTTTTTCCTTACGGGCTTGACAAGAAAATCTGCTGCGCCTCTCAACATGCATCTGTAGACTGTGCTAACCGAATCGTATGCAGACATCACTGTAAATCGAGGTAGCATAGCAGGTAAGTTATGGGTTTATGAACACCATTTCTGCTGGTAATACTAATTAAATAAGTAGAAGTAGTTCTGAAGCATACTTATAACAGGAATGTTTTTGCAGATTTCATGCTCCATAATTAGGGTAAGAAGAGCATATCCAGAGATCGATGGCAGATCAACTTCTGTCAATATGAGGTCTACATTTCTTGGCCGCCCTTTTAGCACCTCCCATGCCTTTAAACCATCAGGAACTGCAGCAACTGCAAAACCACAAGATTTTCAAAATTCAGATCTTTCCAGAAACCCTAAATTTCTTACCCATACCAGATGAATTATTCCTATTCCTATTATAATAATAACTTCATTTAAACATAAACAACAATCTTGCAATAATTGAAAAATTAACCTCTATAGTTGCATTTTCTGAGAAGAGCGGCAATAATCTGCCTGGTAGAATCATCAGATTCCACCAACAACACTCTGAGCACCATCTTCGGCAAGAATCTCTCCCACCTCACCAACCCATCTCTTTCCTCAGCCTTCCTCTGCCCAACCTCCGCCACTTCCACCTCCTCTGTTTCTAGAACTTCCAGCTCCATTGCGGCGGCGCCGCCCTCGCCGCTCACCACTACTTCGCCCATTTTCCTCAACCGGAAAACCCAAACCTAGTACTTTCTCTATAATGGGTTCTCAGAAGAATCGAAAGATAATCGAAAGACTATGCTGTCTGTCTAGACTCAAGCGTACAAAGCACCATTTTCTTCCCTAAAAACTAAAAAAATATCTCCGCATTTTGGTGGTGCAGTAATCCGACGGTGGAAAATCAAAGTCTCCCTTTAACCGCCTCCCATCCAATGGCTACCGATCACGCTTTGGGAAATCGTAATTATTACAGAAAGATATGGCACAAAATATCTGCCAGGCTCATGTGTACGGCCCCGATTGGCCACGTCAGCTCCTCTTGCCTTCCGATCTAAAAAGCAAAAGTCATTGGTCCTTTTTTTTAGGTTGTTGGGTTCACCTTAAATCTTATTTTATTTTATTTTTAAAGGAAAATAATGTCAACCCCATATGGCCATATGTTTCCATTTTCTAATACGAGATATTTTTGCCCCGTGGACCCCGCCCCGGAGATATTTTGATTCCGGATTTAAGGTTTGATGGATAGGAGTTTGACACGTGGGACATCCACTTTAGATCTTTCGTTTGTGGCTTCGGAGCTGTCAAACGCTATCTTTGGTTTTCCTTTAAAGATAGCTCTCTGAGTTTTCCTAATTTTTTAAATAAAATATCTTAATTACAGTCAAATTATATTTATTTATTTTCTCGGTTTTAAAATTATCAAAATTTATATATTATTATAAGGGCATTGGACTTTTGATAGACAAATCTGGAAACAACCAGAGAGGAATCGTATGCTGCGATGCTGGAAGATAATATGCGATTCAAATATTCAATCTTTGTGGTTGTGCTGCGTTCCATCTTATTCCTTAATCAACAATTTCAAACTTGGCAAGTGGCAACTAACGTTTTTCTACGCCTAACAAATATCTTCATTTTTTTTAAATTTACAAAAAATCTCACAATTACTTAGTATAAATTATATATAGTTGATCGGTTCAAGGAGGTAAACTCTGCCTTACGATTTTAACCAGTAAAAGATTATAAGGAGGTAAACTAATCTAAGTTATTCATACTGGCTCAGATCAAGGAGACTAATACAATACTCTTGTTGAAAGTTAAATTTGTGACATTGTGATAACCAAGTTAACAACTTACAAATTTAACTGAAGAATAAAGATATTTTGATTATATTAACTTGTTTAGAATTTTTTTTTTAAATGTCACAAAATAATAAAAACGTAAAATCATTTTTTTATGTCACAAATTTAAAAAGATTTGTTTTGTGTGGTACGAAGTATTAGACTAGTGATTCTGTGGTCTCACCTATGACCTGTGGGCGTAACTTTTTTTTTTCTTTTTTTCTCTCTTTTAAAAAATTTCGTCCTCGAATTAATATTTAAAAAATATATATATATAGACGCCTTATCCAATCACAGACAATGTATAAGAAATGTTTGCTTCCGTGTTGGAACTTTGTTGGGTTAATATTATATTAATACAATAATATCACATGAACTAATCTTATCTAACACTTTGTGGATGAAATGTTTTGGTACTTATTATAAATCAGGCTAATTAACATAAATAATTTGTTTGTATTATTCTTTTCCTAAAGTCGGTATAATTTAATAATATAAGCATGTAATTTTAAGTAAGAAGCATATTCGTGATGTGAAATATTTTAATTTACATGAAAGTCCACAACTGTTATTTGAGTGTGTGCTTTGAGTGAAAATCGCCTTATGATCCTATCTGACAAAAGACGAAAGGATCACAATGAGTTGCAGTTTAAATTGAGAAGGTCAATCAACTCCTATAATGAGTTAAATTTGTAACGTTGTGATTACTAAACCAATTGTCCAGACAAACTCGATTGAAGTTACCCGGCCTATGATATGAAATATTGTTATGAAATATTGTGAAGCTAATTTTACTAGAGGTCCATTGTCTTTGGTGACAATTCTAAATTTAGTCCCACACACAATTAAATCGGTTGCAACGGATCATCCTCCCCCCTTTCTATCCTGTTCTTCCGATGTATGTTGGTTTGAGAGCACCATCACTTCTTTCCAATACTGCTTCCAACTTTCCATATGAAAGAGCAACTTAGTGCCACTAGACTACAAAGTCGTCCTTGACAAATTGAAGAAGTTTATAATTAAAGAATAAGCATACAAACTACTAAAATACGCATATACTAAGTAAAAGCCTTAAACTCTTTGTGCTTTAATATGTTGAGAAATTATGTATAGACAGATACTACATTGTAATAAAGTCAGTAATACTAAAAAAGAAGAAGAAGTAAGAACCTAATAGAGTCTAACAATTTTGTTGCTTTAGAAACTAAAACTTCAATATTTTGAAAATTAAGGTACATTATAATAACAAAAAGGTATGGACTTAAACAATTAGTGGGAAATATTTTAATGACTAAAATCACATTTTTCATTGATTTATACGAAATCTTTAAATTAAGTATCAAATTCACATTAAATTTTCTTTCATCATTCACAAAATATTTTATTCTTTATAATGGAAAAATATCATATTCATTTTGCGGTGTTTATGTAATATTCTTTACGGTATTATATGGAGGGAGGTTAGTGGATTAGATCAGATAATGTGACGAGATGGCCATTCTACATCGGATGCCTATAACAAAAAAATCTAAAGACCAAATTTCATATGAAATATCATATCCTGACTTTTTTTTTTTTGAATGTATCATATCCTGACTTAACACCTTAAAAATATGTTATGACAATGTTGATGTTAGGGGTAAGTAGTTGTGTAAGGGCCCACAAAAAATTTGTAAAATAAGTATACATGTGAGTGTGTGTAATAAATAAAATTATATACATAGTAGGACTAAAAAGATTCTTTTAATCTCTCTTAATTTTTTTTTTTAAATAAAATTATATGGTGTATATATTAAATAAGTCCAAAATATATATTAAATTCTAAATTCACCGAATAAAAAGAAAAAAAATCAAGTATTCAAATTTATTATTCTTTCTTCATTAATTTAATTCTTTTTTTTCAATATTTCAATAACACATGACATATATTAATTATCTAATTTAACATAAAAAAATCTCTAAATTTGAGGTATATATGCTTTATTTTTATTAATTAATTAATTGATTAATGATTTATTATATGTTTTTATTATTTACTTACATTTTTAGGATGCATATGTGCTAATCCAAAAGATTAGTTAAGAAACTAAAAAAACAATGTTAATATTAGTTATTTAATTTGTGATTCTGAGTTTCGTCTTCATCTCTTAACATTTTAAATATTAAGTTAATCAGTAAAATGAAGATCATTTAATTATCTAAAAAATTATTGTCAACAAAATAATTGATAATTTTTATTTGATAAAAGAGTGACAAACAATATTTAAATAAAAGTATAATAATTATAATATATATATTGTGTAATGTGTAAAATTATAAAGTATCGATGAGCACTAATACTCGTATAATTATGTATTTCATACATAATTATACAAAATATTATTACAAATGATTAACAATAATACTTAGTATAATTATGTATGCTATATATATAAGATCAAATTTCATATGAAACATCATATCCCGACTTAACACCTTAAAAATATGTTATGATGATGTTGATGTTAGGGGTAGAGGCAAGTGGCTGTGTAAGGGCCCACCAAAACAAGTTGTAATAAGTATATATATATATATATATATATATATATATATATATGAGTTCCTGTGCGGTTGAGGGTGCTTAAATCAACGTTTAGATTATTAAAATTAAATAAAAAATGTGGTGACATTTTGATAATTTTTTACATTTATGTCAAATATAAGGTGCATGATTTTTGTGAGTAAGGTGTGTGAGTTTTGTATATAAGGTGCGTGAGATTTGTGCTTAAGGTGTGTGGGGTTGTGTACTTAATGGTAGTAGTGATTGAATAGGTGCGTGAGTTTTATGCTTAATGTGCATGAGTTTTGTGCTTAAGGTGCGTGAGTTTTGTGTTTAAGGTGCGTGAGCTTGTGCTTAATGTGCTAGTTGCTGAAACTTAGGTGTGTGAGTTTCCTTCTTAATGTGTGTTATTTTCATCTTAAGGTGTGTGATTTGTATGCTTAAGGTGCGTCAATTATGTGAAACTTAAAGTGAATCATTTTAAAACCTTAGGTGCTTGATTTGTGTTCTTAAGGTGCTTTGTTATGTGCTTAAGGTGTGTGGTTGGTGTTCTTAAGATGTGTGATTTGTGTTCTTAAAGTGTTTTGTTTGTGTGCTTAATGTGCATGTGTCGTGTACTTAAAGTGCGTCAGTTTAATGCTTAATGTGCGTCAAACCGCACTGGAAGCTATTTTGGCGCCTGCTCCCTTCCCCCCCCCCCTCCCCACACACACATATATATATATATATATATATATATATATATATATATATATATATATATATATATATTAAAGTCTAAATTCACCAAATAAAAAGAAAAATATCAAGTAGTCAAATCTATTATTCTTTCTTTATTAGTTTATTTCTTTTTTGAATATTTCAATAATACATGACATATAATTTTTTTTAAAAGAATACATGATATATATTAAGTATATAATTTAACATTCAAAAATCTCCAAATTTGAGGTATATGCTTTATTTTTATTATCTAAAAGAATTGTTGTCAACAAAATAATTGATAACTTTTATTTGATAAAAGAGTGACAATCAATATTTAGGTAAAAGTACAATTATTATAATATATTGTATCATGTGAAAAATTATACAGTATCGATCGGCGCCAGTGCTCATATAATTATGTATTTCATACATAATTACACAAAATATTATTAAAAATTATTATCAATAATACTTAGTATAATTATGTATAATATATATAATGATATTGAATTATTTAATATAATTGATACTGATATTGGTAATTGGTTGACATTGTAAATTTTTGTTATAAAATTTGACCCTGATATGATTTTTTCTGACTCCAACCTTAGTTGATGTGATTACCATTGAACACCCTCATAGGCAATCATTAGTACGGAGTACAATACTACAATGTAGCATATGAGCACAACTTGGTACTCTATTCAGAGACTATAGAACGACTTAATTCAAATGTTCACTTTGGAGGCTTTGAGTAAATTATATAAATATGTAATGTAATGAGCGTCTTCTTATAATAGTTTTATAATAAATTGGGGCGATCCCAATCAATTGTTTGGACAACTTAATAATTACGAATGTTCTTTGTGAAAGATGACTTTCTTAATTTGAATCAATTAAATATAACTTATAAACAACTTATGTTAATTTATCTTCTTGCGGTCTTTTGTCGCTAAAATCATAACACGAATTTCATCTAAAACATATATTCAAATTGCGAGTGTGAACTTTTCTATTAATTAAAATTTTATACCTTGAAAAATATCATAGATTCATAGTGTGTATTAGTGTATACTCCGTATAATGTAATGCAAATAATAGAGATCCAATGCACTGTAACCTTCCGACAAACGTACGATATTACAAGGGGACCACATCCCATATTTATGTCACGTGTCTGGCCATACTCTGAAATCTGGATAACGTATTACCTTGCCACGTATACATCTCTTCCTCGAATATTTTATCCATTTTACCAAAACCCTCCAGGAATCCGTTCCAATCGCAAGAAATCTCGTCATAGAAATGGCGACTCTTTCCATATCTTCAACCGCTAGAGCGTTTTCTTGCTCTTCCTGCTACTCTCCGTCTTCTTCCCCTTCCTCGTCAACGCTCTCTTTATCCAAAAAGCTTAAATTTTTATCGTCTTCTTCGAGCAGTTTTCTTGCTTCGAGCTTCAAGATCAGTGAGAGTAGTAATGTCCCACCCAGAAAACCGATGGGGATTCGGATGGCTTGGGATGGCCCTCTCTCTTCCGTCAAACTCATTATCCAAACCAAACACATTGAGGTATGTATGCCCCTTTTCCCTCATATTTTGCCGCGATTGTATTTGCGCTTTTTCTTGAAATTACTGAAGAATTTAATTGCCCTTTTTGAAGGTTTTTATGGAATTATTATCTGTATGGCTGTATTTACATGTTTTATTTGAAAAGAATAGAACTTGTGCTGCCAATTAAGTGAATTTGTTGAGAAAAATTAATGGAAATGGATGTGTTTTCTGTTGTCTGGTATGTTTCTTGATTGAAAGAGATGTTAAGTTATTGTTATGGAGTTACAGTTAACACCTAATGTGAGGAGCTATGTGGAGGAGAAATTGGGTAAGGCAGTTCAAAAGCATAGCCATCTGGTGAGGGAAGTGGATGCTAGGTTGTCTGTTCGTGGGGGCGAGTTTGGGAAAGGCCCAAAAGTTCAAAGATCTGAGGTATGAAGCCAGTTTTGTAAAAGACTAAAAGTCTTGCCTTTAAGTAGTGTCAATTTGTATGGGTTGTTTATTTGCTGTTATACTTAAAATCAGCTTGGTGAACTGTAGGTGACTTTGTACACGAAGAAGCATGGAGTTGTTCGTGCAGAGGTGGATGCGGAGACACTGTATGGGAGTGTGGACATGGTCTCGTCAGTTATACAGAGAAAACTGCGGAAGATTAAGGAGAAAGATTCTGATCATGGTCGGCATATGAAGGGCTTTGACAGACAGAAGGTTCGGGATCCGGTTGTACTAGCAGAGGAAGAAGCTTTGGAGCCACTTCCTCTAGTAGAAGAGGAACAAGACAAAGATGAGGGCTTCATTGATGAGGTCAGATTACCGTTTGTTCATTTTGTATTGACTACACTTTGGATTATGGTTTCGTGATTTTTTGACTATTACCATCTTTCCTTATTACTCAATTGGTGGTCACTTACATAGTTACATATAGTTTGATAGCAACTTCCTTTTTAAGTTAATATTCAAATTGAATATTGAATGTCAAATACTATCTTCAGCTATGAAATGGCATGGGCCAGAGGCTTGTATAGATTTTTTAAGGAAAAACTTGGTGGTTATAGTGCTTGTTGCCAAGGACTTTGTGGTCTAGTGGCATCAAGTTGCTCTCTCATATGGGAGGTTGTGGGTTCGAGCTTCAGTGGAGGAGATATTGACTCGTTGTGCTTTAGTAGGTTGAGAAAGTAGTTATGAACAGGCGGTATTGACTGGTTGTGGGTTCGAGCTTCAGTGGAGGAGATATTGACTCGTTGTGCTTTAGTAGGTTGAGAAAGTAGTTATGAACAGGCGGTATTGACTCGTTGTGCTTTAGTAGGTTGAGAAAGTAGTTATGAACAGGCGGTTGAGAAAGTAGTTATGAACAGATACTGCATTGTAACAGAAGTTAGCTTCTAGGCGTTAAACTGTTGCACTATTAATCCTTTTCTCAGGTTGTCCGGAAAAAGTACTTCGACATGCCACCTTTGACGGTTGCTGAAGCAATCGAGCAGCTAGAGAATGTGGATCATGACTTCTATGGCTTTAGGAATGAGGAAACCGGTAAGTGGATTTGATAGATGTTTCTGTTCTTTGAATGATGCATTGGCCCTCAGTGTTTAGCCATATCCCTTCTTCTGCAGGGGAGATTAACATTGTCTACAGAAGACGAGCCGGGGGTTATGGCCTTATTATTCCAAAGGGAAATGGGAAAGTTGAGAAGTTGGAGCCTATTGAGGCCGAGCCAATCAGAGAACCATCCCGCGCTTAGCCAGATGGATTTGGTGAGCAATGAGATAACAAATGCATAATGTGTTTGCTGTATATTTGATCGTTTAACAATAATATGTTTCAATCACACTGATGGATCCACGACTTCTAATCGTTCGTTGGTTGATCCACCACGAGTTAATATCGAATAAGGAGTGGTTTTAGTAAGAATGCATAGCATGATTCCATAAGAATTGAAGATGCTCTTATTTTTCGCTTTCAAAAGTACAATTTTGGCTCTAGCATGCCTCAAACAACAAACTTCAACACTTAAAGTATCCAAGGCAATGGATACCTTCATCTTAAGTTATTCTTGAAACATACATTACATTTACTCTGAATTTAGTAAGCAACCTTGACAGATATAGGAATTCTCACGTTATGCACCCCATCGTTCCAAGTTAAGCTTCCGAAAGAATATCCAGTGTTGAAGCGATAGGTTGTGGAAATTGTCACTGTAAATGAGATCTTCTTTACCTTGGGGCCAAATACTAGGGTGGCTGGCTTTACTGCTACATTTATTCCCTTTGGAGCTTCAATTATAACTTTATATATAGAATTTGTAAGTCCAACATTCGTCACGGTTCTCTTAAGGGTAACTGATTCTTTTAGGTTTGGTATAGTTATGGATGGAAAGTTCATATTGAGAATGGAAACCCCTCTAGGGCAAGAAATGGGTTGTCCAACAAGTTTGCTAATGGCACTAGTTTCATATCCCACGGCACAAAGATAGTGAATATAATCTTTTGTTCCCATGTCATAAATGAGGCCTGGATGTCTTGCTTTGTTGGGATTTATGATCCCTCCTCCATAATCAAATGCATCTGCCATTTTACTCTTTGTTGGTCCCTCACTAAATATTGGTTGCCCAGAAATTGGGTCAGTCGTCCATGCTGTAAACACAAAATTTATTTAATTAAAAGAAAAACAAAAACACACCAGATGAACAAGTACTTTTGAGAAACATGATGGCCCTGTTTGGTAAAATAGTTAACCTATTAGTCAATTTTGGCTTGTATAACCATTATTAGCTGTTTGACTTGGTTAAACAACCAATATGAGTATTTGATTGATTAACTTTTTGTAACAGCTTATTGCTTCAAAATACAAAAATTCAAAAAGCCATTTAAAACAGCTTTTTTGATCAATTTTTTGAGAAAATCATTTTGGCCCTGTTTGGTAAAAAATTGGCCTTAGGTCAATTTTGGCTTATTTGACCACTATTAATTGTTTGATTTAGTTAAAATATCAATATAAATGTTTGGTTAATTAGCTTTTTGCAACTCCAAAAGGCTAAAATTCAAAAAGTTACTTCAAGCAACTTTTTCAATTAGCTTTTTGACAAAAGAAATTATACCTAATAGTTAATTTACCAAACACTTTTCTACAATCAGCTAATGTTATCAACTATTTATATCATCTAATTAACACAATCAGCTAACAGCCATTTTACCAAACAGGGCCTTTTGTATGTAATCAGTTATCAACTAACAGTCAATTTATCAAACATTTTTCTACAATCCGCTAATGTTATAACTAGTCAAACCCACTAACCCAATCAGCTATTTACCAAACACTCCATAGGACTGAGTAAGCAAACCAACCTGTTGTGACAATTGCGGATTTGATAGCAGCAGGAGACCAATCTGGATGGACAGATTTGAGCAAGGCAACTATTCCTGCCACATGTGGGGTAGCCATAGATGTTCCAGAAAGAAAGTTATATGCACTTGGCACAGTCGGATCATCAGGAATATACGCAGCCAATATATTTGTTCCTGGAGCTGCTATATCCGGCTGTAAGTAAAAGTAATGGTACTAAGCCCATAAGCTAGCTAGCCTCCTCAACTAATTAAGCCAAGAAAAGCAAATAATGAGATGATACTGGCCTTGAGTAACTCTGGAGCTAAAGTGTAAGGGCCGCGGGATGAATACTTTCCTACAACAGTCGAGATTGGCTTACCGATATGAGTTTTTGTTGGGCTTAGGCGCACTTTTGGATCACTGTTTGTACTTCTAATGCCATTAGTACGTATAATCTTAAATATTAACTTTAAAAGGTTTCTGATAAGGATATATGTACCTTGTAGAGCGAAGATAGAGAAGTATTTTAGTTCCAATCTCATAACCTACTTGTATCAATGGGAAGTCGCTATTGTAAAAATCAAGCAGAGAATAGGTCTCTTGAAACAAAATTACTCCCAATCCACCAGCTCCTTTCACAGTTTCCCTAAGAAACTCATGACTTATATCCTGCTGCCCCACAAAATACAACAGCACAGTTCCAGCTAGCCAAGAATTGTTCTGTGAAATATCTGTATCTGGTTCAGTGTAAATCAAGCTAACAAGGCCCGTATCGTTCCCATAGAACAACGATTCACCCTGCACATATGAGTTAAGTTAGCAGAAGTTTAAAACTGTTGTCTTTGTAGTGTTTAATTTTCTAAGCTAAGTGTAGAAATGTGCATTTTTCTTGTAGTGCATAACTGTTGTCTTTGTAGTGTTGTCAGAGAAGAGAATTTAGGTACCATAAAGATTTGAGCATTTCCAAGTGTGATTGGTGTAGGGAAAGCTCTATCAGGTGTACTACCAGCAACAGTTAAAACCCAGGGCTCCCCATTACTCACAGATTGAGCACCAGGCCCGTCGTTCCCTGCAGAAGCGACGACGCTGATTCCATGTGCAACTGCATGGAAGGATCCATAGTTGATTGAATCTTGAGGGTCTACTTCGGAGTATAAAGGCACAGGTTGCCCAAAGGAAGCAGATATCACATCAACTCCATCATGAATGGCTTGGTCGAAGGCCTTTAGAGCATCAGCAGCCGCAATCCCACCATCCCATCCGATCTTGTAAATAGCCAGCCTAGCCCGAGGGGCGCCCCCCCTTAGTGTGCCTAAACCCAGGCCTTTATAACTCACATTGTGGACTGGGGAAGCTGTTGCAGTGCTGGAAGTGTGGGTGCCATGCCCATCACTGTCCCTCGGAGAGATGTAGTCGTCGATTCCTGTAGTGTTTCCAGGCTGCTGCCCTATCTCGGCCAGGTGGCCATTGATGAAGTATCGAGCTCCGATTAGTTTTCTGTTGCAATGCTTCTTGGGGTTGAACTTCTGCCCGGACTCACAGTAGCCCTTCCACTTTGAAGGAATTGGGCCTAGTCCTTTATCATTGTAGGCCTCATTTTCTGGTGTCACTCCTGCCATATATATATATAGGAAATGGAATTGTTGCATTAGAAATTTAATTTATGCTATTCAAACACTTGGTTTGATCAAGTTAATACATACTTACTGCAAACAAAATATGAGTACCTGAATCAAAAACAGCAACAATGATACCATCACCCATCTTAGTATCATGCAGGAGATTATTATTATTGGCAGAGTTGAATGATAGGCCCAAATAATCCCAACTCCTGGTTGTTTGCAGCTTGTACTTGTAATTACGCATCACTTTAACAACACCAGGTAAGTCTGAAAACATAAAGGGGGTGTTTGGTAAATAGATAGTTGTTAGCTGATTGTGTTAGTTGGTTTGACTAGTTGATAACATTAGTTGATTGTAGAAAGATGTTTGGTAAATTAACTATTAGCTGATAGTTGATTACATACAAAATGACTTTCTCAAAAAAACTGATCGAAAAAACTGTTGTAGCGCTAGCTTTTTGAATTTTAGTGTTTTGGAGCAATAACTGTTATAAAAAGCTAATTAATCAACCGCTCATATTGATTGTTTAACCAAGTCAAACAACTAATAGTGATCGAATAAGCCGAAATCAACTGATAAGCTAACTATGTTACCAAACAGGGCCTTTATATACACACACCTGCAATGGTTTGAGCTTGGGATTTGGTCATCATGGCTGCAAAACCAGAGAAGCCATGCCTGTAGCTGTAAATCATTGAATCCGCTGCTGCTTCTTGGCTGCATTAGGTGAACCATGAAAAATATTGCTAACAGATGGAGTTTCTTAAATATAATCAAATTAGCAAGAAATTAAAAGGGAATATATCTCTGATCGAAGAATAGAATGCAATTAAGCATATATACCTTCCAAGTACAGTAGCTAGCATATGATGATGGGTAGATGTGATAAGCTCTATATCATCATGCTGCCTCGCTCCCATATACACAATGTAAGCCTGTTGACAAGAAAAATAAGGGAAAATCATCTATCAAGCTAATTAAGTATCTATGAAACGAGTCAATTCAAAACTAGTAGGATTGCTGGCATCACTGACTTTGGTTTCTAACAATGCCGAGGTGGTAGGATTGAGGAAGAAAAGCAGGGAGGCGAAGAACAAATTAAACCCAACAATTGTGTTTTCATTCTTAGCCATACTTTTGAAAACACAAGAAAGTGTATATATAAGCTTAGCTTGATCCCTTCTGCATTAGGCCACCGGTATTTATAGTATGGTTGAGATATTTCATGGCTTTGTTCCTCGTCTTCTATGATTCCTCAGCCAAATTCAGTGCCACTAGTCAAATGATTTTCTGGTTTTTTGAGGAGACATGAGAAAATGCAAGACAAACATAGTGAATTGAAGCACTCACATCATATAATTTTAATGGGGTTATGAAAAATATCCCAATCCAAAAAGTTTACCTCCACTAATAAATAATAATAATGTATCAACAGTAAAAGCAACATTAATAATACATTATATTCCTCATTAAATTTCTAAAAATGATTTTAATTTACCCCATGAATTTATGTTATGTGCTTTTTAAATACTATGAAGTAGCCAACTAGTGTGATCATTTTAAATGTGTGGCTTTTTTGAACTGAAAATGTTTGAAAAAATATCGAACAGATACTACTTTATAAATGATCGAGTATTTTTTTATTTTCTGTAGTAAATTAACTTAGATTATTCATAGCTAATCGATTTAAACCAAGAAGATAATAGATAGAATTTAACTCATTGTTGTTTACCCTGCCTCAATGATAATGTTTGGGGATATTTGCTACATTCTCTCCATACACTGTACTAGTAATTTTCGATCTTTAATGAATAAGGAATGTCAATAATACTCTCAAAATTAAATCTTTTACTTTATTAAAGTGGCTGATTTCAATGAACAACTACAACTCCACCATCAGTAAGCAAACACGTGTGTTATGGCAAAAGATCAGTCGTAATGTAATGATGGAGTTAATACCCGATTTGG